TCTAACCATATGTCGCTATTTAGATTAAATTAATTAACATGAAATAAAATAAGAATTTACTCTCTGTCACACTAGCAACATTTCAAGTTCTTAATAGCCGCATGTACTCTAATTATTGCACTGCACACTTTAAATTTAAAATGTTGTATGGCAATAACATCACAACAAAACTGGAAAAAAAATAACCATATGCAGTTTGTGGCCCACCATCATACCAGACAGCAGAGATGCAGCAGAACATTTCCATTGTCACAGAAAGTTCTGTTGAATAGCACCGCTTTAGGTACAGTCCACCATAAATTGCATTATATTCCATTTAAAATCTGCTTCAAGATTACTTTATTTATACTTCACATGATCACAGTTTTTATAGCTTGGTCCCAACTCATCGATTTAACTGTTAATCCATTAAATTCAGAAGGTAACTTTTTGTTACTGATTCTGTTTCAGGAGATGTTTTTACATGTGCTATGTAGTAAGGTGCTAGGAAAGTAATTGTAAACAGAAAAAATAAACTCTACTCTTAAAAATGGAAAGTAAAATAATAAAACATGTTTTCCAATGCTTCATCAAATATATCTTCTATATATCTCTGAGCATCACTGTGTATCTGTTCATATAGAATTATAGACTTTCAGTTCAGTTTTATGACTTTAACGTAACTGGGTACTCAAATGTGTAATTACATACACATTTTCCATTTGACATTAGATTAAGGTAAACCTGAGCTTCAGTGTTAGTAAAATTAAAATCATGAATGTAGGAGTTTATCACACACTCTGTATGTAAATGTTTAATAGCTTCTTATTGAGAGTCTGAATTTCTCTTTAAATGTTTCCTATTTAGGCCTGTATAGAACAGCAGTTTGATTCTCTCAATGGAGGAGTGTCTGTGTCAAAAAATAGCACTTTCGCTGAAGAATTTGCACACAGTGTTCGCTCAATTTTTGCAAATGTAGAGGCCAAACTTGGTAATGTAAAATGGATTTTTTGGTTTGTGTTTGTAAAGTTAGCATTTCCTTGAAAGCAGAATTTTAAGTATATTGTTTCTGTTTCTGTCTTGTATTATTGTTTTATAAGGAGAACCTTCTGAAATTGACCAGAGAGACAAGTATGTTGGAATTTGTGGACTCTTTGTACTACACTTTCAAATTTTTCGAACTGTTGATAAAAAATTTTATAAGTCCTTACTGGACATTTGTAAGAAGGTGAGAACTTGAAACTTTTCTTTTTTCAGTTTTAGTAGATGAAAAAGATTTTGGATAAAATAATATTTTAAAATGTGCTTTATTTCTGCATACAAAAGTACTAATTTTATAGTAATGATATTTTATAATAATAATTGCAATAATAATATATTCATTTTTAATCATTTTTACACTATTTTTATAATTTTTTTATTCCAGAAATAAGTAACAGTAAATGAAAATACCGCATAATTCCATATCGTATAAATATGTATTAGTGAATGTTTTTCCAGATTTTTTCCTACATATTATCTTCCTGTTACTGTTACTACTTTTTTCTTCTCTTTGTTCTTTCTCCTTTTTTATCCTGCCACTAATTCATTATTGAAGTAGAAAAAAGTGTTCAATAATTTTTTTTCTACATTTTTGCTGTTTTCCATAATGGGCACCTGACTTCAAAATTGAAAATTTAGTGTCTGTGTAGAATCAAGTAATATGTGACCATGAGAACCCAGCTGTCTTGGTGTTTATTTATTTTTTACTAATATAGAGTGAAAGTAAAGCTCATGATGATTCAAGTTTCTGTTTGCTTTTTGCATATTTTTATCTGAAAAGCCATGAGAGTGTGTAAGTGTGCGTGTGTTGTTTAATATTTAAAATTTTATAATAAAATTATTCTCATGCTCTATACATGGTACAGGAATGCCTTAACCCTGTGCCATAGTAAGCTAATTTGTCTCATATAAGAGTTATGAGCATTTTTTATTGTTAATTCTTCTTGAAATAAATTGTTTTCCAATGTGTTATTACAGAACTGTTAAACAGTTTTATTGTTTAGCCTTCATTTAATGATTTCCCTCCCTTTATGTTTACTATTTCAGGTACCAGCCATCACTCTAACTGCTAACATTATTTGGTTTCCTGATAATTTTTTGATCCAGAAAATACCAGCAGCTGCCAAACTTCTAGACAGAAAAAGTCTTCAAGCCATTAAAATACACAGAGAGACTTTCCTACAGCAGAAGGCTCAATCACTTACCAAGTAGGTTTTATAAGTACCCATAATAAAAATATTTAGATATTGTATATTTTAAAATCTTACAGTGATTCTAAATATGTGGAAAGCATTTATATTATAGGATCAAATGTACTTATTCATTGCCAGAGAAAAGGTTAGGCAATCTTTAGATTTATTTTCTAGGACCTTTTGTTTTTGTTTTAAATGTTATAGGCTTAAGCTAACTTTAAGATATAGGCAAATTATACTTTATGGAGATATATATATATATGGGTGTGTGTGTGTCTGTGTGTGTATATGTACACATACATCCATATACATCTATATGCACACATGGGTGCATACTTTTTTTATTAAAATATCATTAATACACAATCTTATGAAGCATGAGATTCATATTATCAGCATTCACCCATATTATCAAGTCCTCCCCCCCTCCATTGCAGTCACTATCAGCATAGTAAGATGCTATAGAGTCATTATTTGTCTTCTCTGTATAGACACAATACTTTTAATCACATGCATTTAAATATTTTTTGTTTAAAGTGAAGTCTCTGCAGTAGATGTCATTTGATGACGTTAAAAACACTGTGTGTCCATGATACAATGATGATTTTTGGAGGAGCTGACTTAATTTGATTCTTATTTGGTTCTTATTTATTTATTTATTTATTTTTAGTTTTATGAAAGTAATAGCTGTAGATATTTAAGTCAAAAAATACTAAAGGCTTAAAAGGAAAAATAATTTTCTCCTGTTGAATTTCCCATTGTAGCTCGTTCCTACTCCCTAAAAGACCACTTTTAACTTAGTTGTCTTCTGATATTTACATCCTTATTTTTTTAACTCTTACTACATAAAATTGCAAATATACACAAAGTAGAGAAAATAGTATAACGAGCCCTGATGTTCTCATCAGTTAATTTCAGCTTTTAAATTTACCACACATTCTTGCTTGAGTACACTGTAAGATTTCATATTGACCTAGATGAAGATTTTAGTGACATGACACAGGATTCTGCCACTGTTGAACACAGTTTTTATCTGTGACATGGTTAAAGGACCATAGGTATACTTACCCACTTTCATTGATCTTAGCTGTTGAGGGGAAATAGGCCACTACTGCACAATGGGGGAAGGGGAAGTATGGAATATAGGAGAGCCTATGAAGAATCTCTTAGGACTCCCAAGTCCAATGATTAAAGTCAGTGGAGGATGACAGCACTGTTAAGGCAGGACTTACCAATGGCAGAGATTTCATAGCTCTTTAATACATTCTAAAACAGCTGAGGGAGAGATAAAGGCATAAGTGGATTTAGATTAAAGAGATGAATTCAGTGAGATGGAGAGACAGGGATCAGGTTTAGTAGCAGTAATTTCAAAAAAGATGTCGGTATTTTAGTTATCAGAGGATTAATAAGCTTTAATGGTGTGAAGCAGCTGCTAAAAATGCCAATACATAGATTACATTAATACCTATACCCAGGTTATAGAAACTAGCTGTTATAGTATCTAGGCCATGGGAATTGGTAGTTCCATTGATTTCTTACTGGTCAGATATAGTTAGTGTTTGGTGGTGTTTAGTTTTAAGAGGGCTACAAACTCCAGCGTCCCTAGATGAAACTGATGAGGATGTCAGCAGATTTGAGAACCATGAACTTTGAAGACTCACTGAAGAATCTGCACAGTTTGGCCTCTAAAAAGGGAATCTGAGGAATGATGTGGTGGGTTTCTTTAAATATTTGAGGGGTGTTCAGGTTGAAGAGGGAATAGCTTTGATCTCTGGCTCCAGAAGGTTGAACTAGAACTAAAAGATGAAGATGACAGATAATAATAATTGTTAACATTATTGAGCTCTTAACTGTGTAGCAGGCATTATGCTAAAGTCTTTAAACACACTGTCTCTGTAAACCCTGTAGTAATCTTCTCATGGCAAGTAAAGGTCACAACTAGTATTTACCTAGTGCTTTCTGTAAGCCACTATTTCAGCAACTTCACTTGTAACATCTCCTTTAATCATCAGAAAATCCTGTGAGATAATAATTTTATAGGTGAGAAAATAGAAGTACAGAGAGATTAAACTTATCCAAATTTAAATAACTAGGTGGTGACAGAGCTGGACCAGTCCAACTCTAGAGCTAAGCAGTTAACTACTACTCTTATCATATGATTTTTATCCCATATTTAGATGAGGAAAATAAGGCTTAGAGAAATGAACCTTTCCAGGTCACACACCTAAGTATGTGTCAGAGAGGGCTTGCAAACCTGTGCCAGTCCTGCTCTAGAGCCTCTGCTAGAGTTGTGTAGACTGCTCTGAAAGTCAGGTCACACACCTAAGTATGTGTCAGAGAGGGCTTGCAAACCTGTGCCAGTCCTGCTCTAGAGCCTCTGCTAGAGTTGTGTAGACTGCTCTGAAAGGTAATGTGCTCTTTCACTAGAGCTATGTAGGCAGAATATAGATGACTACCAGTCTAAGATGCTATAGCAAGTCTTATTAGGTGGAAGATTGAATAAATTAACTTTCAGCAACCCTCACATGATAACATTTTGTTCCTAAATTCTTTCATTCCAAAGGTATACCTATACAGTCACTCTAGAGCTCCAAGGAGCTAAAGAAAGCAGTGTCTTTTCAATTCTTCTTGCAGATCTAGTTTTGTCCTTGGTGTTTTTTCCTGTTTGTACTCTGAAATGAAGCTGACAACTTGACAGGATGCTTGGTCGTTTTTGGACCTGTGTTAATTACTTTGCATTTTAAAACTTGAAGTAGTTTCATCTTTATATTTTTATAAGAGACAAAGATCGTCTGGTGTCTGGATGGACAGAGTGACAGACAAACCTCTGTTTTATCCTGCCTATCTAATCTAAAACTAAGTGAATCCTCTCATCTGTGTATTAGTCATCTTCGTAATGTTACTGACTTGATTGCTATCAGGGAGGGTTCCCTAGCCTAGGCCTCTTCTTCTGCTCTTGCTCATGACCTTTCTGTCCCCTCCTGTGCATTGTGTCCTTGCTGAGTCTTGATCATAGCCTCCTTTTCAAAAGTGGAGGCATTGCCCCAGGATCCTTCTCTGTCTCTGTTTCCACACTTTTAAATCGAATCATACACAAGTCAAATAGATTTTAACACTGTTCAAGGCAAATCTAAAAGTACAATTGTTGGTGTCTTTTGCTAATGGAATCCTGGCTCAGTAGAAATCAGTTTTCTCAGATTTAATACTAGGGTTTCACCTCCTTAAAACACATTTCTTAAAGATCTTGGCATAATCCCCCTTCAGACTGAGGCCTTAAGATTGTCAGACTGCTTGGAGTATGGCTAGCCAACAACTTCAGTGTGGGATCCTTATCTTAATCAGTGGGTCCCTTGCCCTGAAGAATTATCCTCTAGTTGATTCTGACTGGTAGTAGTGGAACATTGCCCTATCCTGAAATTTTTAAAAATTGTTTGTAATACCAAATTCCACAAAGGGGACTTGTCCATTTTTTGCACACTAAGATTTGTAAATAAAGAAGCATAGCTTAAAACAGTTGGTGAGCTAAAAGTTCCCATCTTTAGTGATTAGAGATGCCTTGATGGAGTGATTTTGTGTTTGTAATCAGTCTAAATAGTAAAATTATATTATTGATTTAGTCTTTCCAAGTTGGAAAGGCTTTCTAGATTTGGGCTTAAACGAGCTGTGTACTTGTTGTATGATGTTGGGTACATTACTTAACTTCTGTGTGTTAGCTTCCTCTTCTGTAAAATGGAGGTCATAATTGTTACCTCATAAGATTAATGTAGTAATTAATGTGAGGATTGAATGAGTTAGTTTGTGTAAAGCACTTAGAACAGTGGCTGCCGTGTAGTAAGCATTCAATAAATGTTTGCTTTATATCCAGATTCTGACCACTTCTCTGCCGTTCTGGTTCAAGCTGTCATCCCCTTTCTTCTGCATTATCACAGTGGCTTCTTAAGTGGTTCCCTTCCACTTTTATCATTGTCCCCTTTATAGTTTATTTTCAGCATATCAGTCAAAGTGATATTGATGGTCTTCAAAGTTAGATAAAGTCACTCTGCTCAAACTTGTGGTTTTCATAAAGTCCTTATTTCCTACAAGGCCCTACACTGATCCCCTTCCTACTCTCCACCTTTCCCACTCCTCTAACCCTCCCATCCCTGTACCTCTCGGATCTCTTTTTCTGTTCTTATCCCTGAACTCTGTGCTCCAGTCTTACTGACTTCTTTGTTATTTTGAAGATGCCAAACATATTTCCTATTTTAGGATGTTTGTATTTGTTACTTTCCTAGAATTCTCTTCTCTTACATACTTGTATGGATTACTCATTCGTCTTCTTCAAGTCTTGGCTCAAAAATCACCTTTTCAGTGAGCCTACTTTGATTACTATATTGAAAATTATACCTGCCACCCCAGTCTCTATCCTTTTTCCCTGTTGTATTTTTTCCTTGCACACATCATCTGACATCTTACAGATTTTAATTATTAATTTATTACACAACTCTCTTTTTTAGAATGTAAGCTGATGCGTGACAGGGAGTTTTGTCTGTTTCATTTAGTGCTTCGGTTTTTGGTTTTAGTACTGAGAAACAGTGCCTGGCCTGTATAGGCCTTCAGTAAATATTTGTTGAATGAGTAATTATGTATGATTATATGATACTTACAGTTTGAAAACCAGAAAGATGAAATGGCTGCTGCAAGGAAATATTTTATCCTACCTAACCAATATGAAGAAATGAAAGTAAACTTTTTTCTCCTATGCTGAGTAACCCCAATATTTTCCTTTGTTAGAGATGTACAGTCTTACTACGTCTTTGTGAGCTCATGGATGATGAAAATGGAATCTATTTTATCTAAGGAGCAGAGAATGGATAAATTTGCTGAAGACCTCACCAATAGATGTAATGTTTTTATACAGGTAGTTGCATCTTCTTACTTAGAATATTTTGGGGATCATTTCTTTGTTAATCCAGCATATAGAAGTTACACTTTGAAAAAACTAGAAAGGATATGTTGTTGTTTTTAAAACTGAATTGATTTGGTTATGTTTGGATCTCTGTGACTTAGATTTTCTAATACATACATTTAAATCTCTACATTCCCTTCAAAGCATGACTTTTTTGCTATATCCTGTTAGTTTTGATATATTTTCTTTATCCTTCAAAATACTAAGAAATTTTTATTGTGCTTTCTTCTTTGATATGTGGGTTATTTTGAGAGATTTTTTTTATTTCTAAATATATGAGGATTTTCTAGTTATCTTTTTATTACTGATTTTTTCAGTATTTTGAAATTTGTTGAGATTTGCATTATGGCAAATCCCTGACATCTTATCCTAGTAGGATAAGTCATCTTCACAAATTCAGGTCCTTCAGGATTAGGACCATATCCTAGTAGGATATGGTCAGCTTTGGTAAATGTTTCATATATACTTGAAAAGAAGGTGTAATTTGCATTTGTTGGCTGTAGTGTTCTGTCAGTTTTTGTTTTATATTTTTCGAGACCAAGTAAGTAAATAACATAGAATTGTTATGTTCCTGGTAAATCGAATCTTTTATCATTGTGAAATGTCCTTTTGGTCTCTAGTAATGCTTTTTGTCATAGATCTCTTTTGTGTGATGCTAACATAGCTATATCAATTTTCTTTGAGTTAAGGTTTGTGTGGTGTGTCTTTTTTTGATCCTTTTACTTGTAACCTGTTTGGCTCCTTATATTTAATGTGTGTCTCCTATAAGCAGTATATATTTCTCCCCAATATGATGATCTGTTTTTTCATTAAACTGTTTTCCATATATGTCATTACTGATATATTTAGATTTAAACTAGCACCTGACTAGTTGCTTTCTGTTTGTATCACTTGTCCTATGTCCCTTTTCCTTTCTTGCTCTCTTTTTTTTTTTTTTTGAGAGGGCATCTCTCATATTTATTGATCAAATGGTTAACAACAATAAAATTCTGTATGGGGGCCTCAATGCACAATCATTAATCCACCCCAAGCCTAATTCTCATCAGTCTCCAATCTTCTGAAGCATAACGAACAAGTTCTTACATGATGAACAAGTTCTTACATAGTGAATAAGTTCTTACATGGTGAACAGTACAAGGGCAGTCATCACAGAAACTTTCGGTTTTGATCACGCGTTATGAACTATAAACAATCAGGTCAAATATGAATATTCGTTTGATTTTTATACTTGATTTATATGTGAATCCCACATTTCTCCCTTATTATTATTATTATTATTATTATTTTTAATAAAATGCTGAAGTGGTAGGTAGATGCAAGATAAAGGTAGAAAACATAGTTTAGTGCTGTAAGAGAGCAAATGTAGATGATCAGGTGTGTGCCTATGGACTAAGTATTAATCCAAGCTAGACAAGGGCAACAAAACATCCACGGATTCTTGCTCTCTTTTAAATTACTTTTATCATTAATTTCTCCCTCTATCAGTTTGTTAATTCTATGTTCTTTCACTGTTTTTTAGTGATTACTCTAATAGAGATTTTAAGATTCATCATTGAATATTGAACTCCAATGTAAATAAGTAGTTTTTACCACTTTCCAGATAGTGTGAACTGCTTTAATTCTATTTATCCCCCTCTGATCTGTGCTGCTGTTGTATATTTGTATTCTATAAATTTCTTAGACCTTGCAAGGTATTATTAATGATGCCTTGTTGTTATAGTCACTGTTCATTTAGGTTTACCCACATAGTTACCCATTCTTTTGCTCTTAATCCTTCTTGCATCTCTTCATCCTTCTCCTTGTGGAATACCTATTGGTATTCCACTTAAAATGTTTTTCTGTTAATGAACTGTCATAGTTTCTTGTCTGAATATGTCTTTATTTCAGCTTCATTTTTGTAGTTAATTCTGCTATGTATAGATTTCTAAGTTGGCAGGATTTTTTTCCCCTCCAGCTTTTAATGGTGCCATTTTATTGTGTTCCAGCTTCCTTTGAATTTTTTGAGAAGCCAGCTATCAGTTTTGTTGCTTTTTCAATATGAGTCTTTAATTGCTCATAAGAATTACATTTTGATTTTTAGCAATATTATTTTGAGGTACCTTGGTGTAATTTTCTTTGTGTTTGTGCTGCTTGGAATTTATAAAGCTTCTGGAATTTGTGGAAAATTCTCAGTCATTAACTCTTCAAATACTATTTCTTTTTTTTTTTTGAGAGGGCATCTCTCATATTTATTGATCAAATGGTTGTTAACAACAATAAAATTCTGTATAGGGGACTCAATGCACAATCATTAATCAACCCCAAGCCTAATTCTCAACAGTCTCTAATCTTCTGAAGCATAACGAACAAGTTCTTACATGGTGAACAAGTTCTTACATAGTGAATAAGTTCTTACATGGTGAACAGTGCAAG